GGTTCTCTGAATTTTGATAAAAGGGCGATAACTCCGGACCGGAAGTGAATTTCTGAAAATTGTTTAGCCGGAATTAACTTCAGATAACCTAGCAACAATCCTGAAAATCTGAAGCAAATCCATCCATCCATCTCCGAGAAATCGTCTGCACAAAATTTGTGCAGAAAAAAAGAATAATAATAATAATAATAATAAGCTTGAAAAAGAAACCTAAGAATAATAGAAGGGTCTTCCGCTGAAGACGGAAGACCCTAATAATAATAAAAGTGAAAAAGAAACATAAGAATAATAGAAGGGTCTTCCGCTGAAGACGGAAGACCCTAATAAAGGTAAAAAAGAAACCTAAGAATAATAGAAGGGTCTTCCGCTGAAGACGGAAGACCCTAATAAAAGTGAAAAAGAAACCGAAGAATAATAGAAGGGTCTTCCGCTGAAGACGGAAGACCCTAATAAGAAGAAGAAAAGTGAAAAATCAACAATAGAATAATAGAAGGGTCTTCCGCAGAAGACGGAAGACCCTAATAATAATAATAAAAAGAAAAGTGAAAAATCAACAATAGAATAATAGAAGGGTCTTCCGCAGAAGACGGAAGACCCTAATAATAATAGGGAAAAAGAAACCGAACGAAAACAAGAAGGTCTTCCGTTGGAGACGGAAGACCTTAAAAAGTGAAAAATCAACAATAGAATAATAGAAGGGTCTTCCGCAGAAGACGGAAGACCCTAATAATAAGAAAAGTGAAAAATCAACAATAGAATAATAGAAGGGTCTTCCGCAGAAGACGGAAGACCCTAATAATAAAAGGATTGATAAACGACTCAAGAAATTTGGGTAAGGAGGTCGGTGAATTTTTTCATTAAAAAACACTGAAGTGGAAATAATTATTAATGGGTGGGCTAAAATCGCGATAAAAAAAAATCCAGCAGAATAGAAAAAATTGATTCGGACCTTTTTTTTACTCGGTCAAGAGAGGACAAATAATCATTTTCTTTTTAAAGATGGCCTTACATGATAGCATTTTAAAATTCTTCCCCAAAGATATGCATAGTTTTTTTTTTTTTTTTTTTTTTTTTTTTTTTTTTTTTTTTTTTTTTTTTGATGTTCGGTCTTTCGGATCTTTTTCCCCTGAAAATCTGCCCGAAACTGATAAATTTTGTTTTTTTTTTTTTTTTTTTTTTTAAATAAATTGAGAGATGAAAAAAAGGGGTGAATATGTTCAGTCTGGAGGCACATTTTTTATTTATTTATTTTTTTAGGAATACGTAATGCAAGCATCCGTAGATCGTCCCAGAATATAACTCTGCTACATGTTTATACATGTGCAACCGGCAGATGGGGGTTGATCAAATATTATTTCAGAATTATAGTGTAAGTGCAATGGTATACACGTGTACATGTAATTTTGATGTTGGTCTCTTACAATTTTACAAGTCACCACATAAAACATTTTTATTCAATAAGTTTTAAAAATCTCATTCATTTAATTTAATTTTTATGGAATGGAAAATAAGAAATGGGACCTACTAAATGTAGATAATGGATTATTAAGTTGATCGATTTTAATATTGTAAGGCCGCAGATCTGAATGGAATACACGTTTAAATTGATCAGAAATCAAAGATCAATCCGTGATTTGGCTTTATTGTGTACATGTCTTAGGCACTGGGGCAGAACCGGGTACAACATGTATATTCCATGTAAGTTGTGGTGGTCAGCGTAACACAATGTGCACTAATTACCTATTGTTCTGCGTCTGCGGCCACCGGTGTTAATAATAAACAAATGAACCTGCACTGTACATGTACTTGCTACTTGGAGCAGGAACAATCTTTACGAATGCACAGAAAATTTAATATTTATTATCGATTTGGTTGACAAATTAAATTGATAGAAAAATGTTTAGCAATATAGGACACAGTACAAAATAAGAAAAAAAGAGAGAACTGAAGTTATATACATTGTACAAACTTATTAATTAAATGAAGTAACTTAAACATGTTAAAATAAGATAGATTTATTTTAATTCACGTCGATCTTTGCTCAATATTTAATTTCATTTGCTAGTTTTACGTACATTTCTTGAGATAAAGTTTAAAGAAGGTGCTACATGTAAATTCATTTGAATCTCTGTTAACAGTGTTTATGGGCCTGTAAAACGGAGACGAGAAATTGATAAGGAAGAGTTCGACTATGTTTATCTAATAAATAATTATGCAAAATTTATACGAGATTTTTTTTTAAAAAGATGGTTTAGTGATTTAGCAATTTGTGTAATGATATTAGCATCAACTGTTCACAGTTCAGAACATCGCTGAATCCGAGATAAAAATCTGTTATGAATTATCGGAATGTAATAATAACATGCTGATCGCACTCATGAATAAATGTTATTATAATAGCTGAATTTTGTATTGTTTCTTGATTCTCTAAAATAATTTATTCATGTTTATTAAAGATATTTAGTAATTATTACATGTATAACTTATGGAACTTAAAACTAAAGAATCAACCTTGCGCCTATCAGCTTAGTTAACAGTCTTTCATCCCCCCTTTTTTTCTGCTACAGTCTGAATAACTAATTGAATCATGTCGCGTGTACTTTGAGTACATTGGTCTCGCAAAAAGAGAAATGGACAACAAATATTATACTCTCTGTACAAGGTTATTTCTAATTTTACTAATGTTACTAAATGCATATCGTAAGAAATACAACGTGTACTAATATTTGACCCGATTCTCAAAACGAAAGTAGAAACTTCTACACGTGGTGGACATGTGAATATTTTACACAGTGTTTTAAGAACAACCGAGTAATTTCAAGTTTTGTTTTATTTCGCTTTTTAACTGACTGACCGCGTATAAGCAGGTTATTATTTTTTTTTAAATTGATCTAGCTGTTACCAGTAATTACGCACATCGTACTAACGAAGAAAGATCTCCGTATTTCATTGAATGAAAATCACACTGCATAAAATTTCTATCTCTTGGTGGCTTGTTGTTAAAAAAATCAACGATAGATAGATAGCTTGATACCACAAAATGATATTAAAAAAATTGCGAGGAGGACATAAATTATAGATCTAGAGAGCACTAGCTAAAAGAGATAATTCAACAAATTTAAGATCATGATCAATTCTTATTATTTGAACCTGTCACATTCTTCATTAAAGGGCATAGTATATGTTATATGAATAGATTTTTTGTGAGAAATATTAAATACTGCCTTGTTAAAAGGAGAAGGGTTTGTAAAGGGTGGGGGGGGGGGTCTCAACTAACAGAGCAGACGGAACCCATGTTACTAATCAAATATTCAGGTTCTCTACATGAAAATATAAATTTAATTGCAACCATTGACTGTATTGAAGATGCTTCCAAAAATTTTTAACGACAGTACAAATATACGTGGAAAAAATATGAGATGGAATTTTTTTAAAAAGACCTTTGTGAATAAAAAATTGTTTTAAAAAGTACCTGCATAGGTAGAGTAACAACTGCATGAACACCCCCCCCCCCCTTTCAGATATTGACAACAAAGGAGAAATATAAAGATAAAGGAAAACATAAACATTTATGATCTAATTTTAACATTAAGAACAGCACAATATCAGTAATTATCAAACATTATCAGTAAAATTTGGGATTCTCAGCACTTTTTTCGTCCAGTAGTGTCTGTTAGTTTTGTTAGAGCCGTTTGACATGAATGAAACTCTCGAAATCCAGATTGTGATTTAAATAAAAGATCAAAGCTAGAGGTAAAGTCACGTATTTGATCGGCTATGTGTTTTTCAACTAATTTTGATAATGTTGGAAGAATGGATATGGGTCTGTAGTTCCCTGGATCTGCGTGGTCGCCATTTTTGAAAATAGGAGTGACTTTTGCTTGTTTTAAACGGGATGGAAATACACCATTAGTAATGCTAGCATTTATAAGATATGTAATAGATTTGCATACAACATTTGCCGAAAGTTTTAGTAGACGAGGTCCAATAAAGTCAATGCCTGCTGACTTGTTCACATCAAGTGTATTCAACATATTAAATACTTCAAACTCACTTATTTGATTTATACTGAAAAAATTTTCTTTCCCTAGTTTAGTTTCTGTAAATTGATTTAATAATTCTGAATCAAAACTTTGTACTGATATATTTGCTAATAACTTACAGGATATTTCTGTAAAGTGTTTGTTAAAGATATCAACAATATCCTGTAAATTTTCAAAATCCAAACCATTCTGTGTAATACGGTTAGGTGTAAAATTTTTGGAATCGGATGCCAAATGGTTTAAATAACTCCACATTTCTTTAGGACTTGAACTTTCTTCAACTGCTGATTTGTAATACTTTGATTTGGCTTGATCTATTAATTGTGTGACTTTATTTCTCCAAAATTTGTAATTTTCTGAATTTCTTTGTAGATGGTATGTATCACGTAAAAGTCTAGCATCATTTATTTCCTGTGTAAGCCATTTAGGTCGAATTTCAGTCTTGACTCTTTTAGTTTTTACTTTGGCATGTTTGTTAAGAATATCATTAGATATTTCATAAAATTTATTCAATATTTCGTTTGGGTCTTTTAGTTCAAGAAGAGTGTTAAAATTTGCATTTTCTTAATCTCTTAGAAACTTATTTTCATTGAATTTTTTAAAATCTCGATATTGGATTTCAGTATGTTTTCCCTTACGCTGTATGCAGTTAGTTTTCCGTGTCAAACATACAGGGTAGTGGTCAGATATAGCAATAGGGGACACACTGGTTTCACATATGTTTTCTGGTTTGGTTGTATAAAAATGATCAATTAAGGTAACTGAGGTACTTGTTATTCTAGTTGGAACAGTAATTATCTGTGAAAGTCCAAACTCCTCTAAAGCAGATGTCCAGTATTGTGGGGGGTCTTTCATTAAATCAATATTAAAATCACCTGCTAGAATTATTTCAGTATCATCACAGCAGGAGGCACGGTTTACCTCCCTTGCTAGGTCCTCTGCCCAACATTACAATACCTTTGTTGTTAGACTTTTCTCCGTTGACCCCGAATTAGCTTGACTTGTGACTGCACCTTTGAAGATAGAGTTGATTGTATTGAAGAAGCTGGATTTCCCAGCCGCTACTTGTCCTATTAGCAGGACCTTTACTTGATCAACACAAGTCTCTTCCAGTGGACAGTAGTCCTCCACGTCTTTTCTCAAACTTTGTAAATACTGAAATGTAAAAAAAAAAAAAAACGTTATCTTATTTCATTAATCTGAGGGAGCAGAAGGAGTAGAGCTTTTTAAAATAATTTCAATAGGTATTTTCTATAGGGATTTTTTAAAAAGGGAATTTTTAATTTAAAAAACACGTGCAAATATGATGTTAAAAAGTTTTTAATGGGATAAGAAAACTTCGAAATGCACTAAAAATATAATTGTATTCTGTAGGTTTTAAAAAAGTTTTGAGTCGAGGAGAGCTGAAACAAACAGTATTTTAAAGATGGTCTGAAATTCAGATTTTTAATAACGATCGACTGAATGAAAAAGAGTGAATATTACGAACAGTGATCGATTTCATAAATACAAGTAGTACAAATCTGTGAACTGGGCATAAAACACGGACCCCTGGACATTCCAGTGGTGGGATCAGGTGCCTAGGAGGAGTATCATTTTACTATTCATAATGGGAATATGAAATACATAAAAGAAAAAAAACTTAAATCAACATTTTGAGATACTGTATACACTGACACGATTTTTATGAATGAGAAACTCATAATTTTATCAATAAATATTATTTACATTTTTCAGCATTCTACTTTGTTAAATTAAGCTCAATTAACTTTAAAATAAAAAAGTCTCCCTTTACATGTATATATGTATTGTTTTTAAATTCTAAATATCCATATATGCTATTAATTTACTAATAGATATATAATAAAATACCTGTTTGTCCCACTGAGGTGTTATTCGCCAGTTATTCAGTGTAGGTTCCAATATCCCCTCTGAAAATCAGAGTATTTATTTATAGTATGTGGAGGTTATAAAGATTTTTTTATAATCATTGTTTAACTAAAACTTGTCTGATGTGCATTAATACATTTAATAGGGCTTCCAGATAAACTTATACCTTAAGTTTTTGCATATCAAACAGCTGGTGGGTTTTTTTTTACTATAAAGATAACCTTGATTTCTAGAGTTAATAAACAATCCCCCTTTCTTGAATTATGGATTCATTGTAGCTTCAATATTATATATATATATATATATATATATATATATATATATATATATATATATATATATATAGATCAGTTTGGGATAAGTGCAAGTCACATCTGTTTCTCTGGTAAAAGTTGCAATAAATATTCAGTAATTTTTACAAATTATTTAATCACAGCTTTACCTATAATATCTGTGTAGCATAATTGATTACAACCATAAATCTACTACCTTAGACTTTCACTCTCTTCTCCTAATTATATCAATTTTAAACTTATGTGAAAAATACACATACCATCAATTTTATATTTTTTTTATTTTATCTATTTTTGTATTTTTTATTTTATTTCATATCTTTCACTTCCAGCACGTTGTCTGCAAATGCAGTAATGTAATCGCTTTTCATATCATACGTGTTGTTAAGAGCACAACTAGAAAACGTGTATACGCCATTGGAGGAATCGACATTTTCAGTGAAGTATGGCATGTCGTTTCCATCACCAAAGCAAGGTCCATAATCGTAACGACAATAAATTGCGTTTCCATACTTGTCTGCCTTGATTGGGTATTTTTTGTATACACTCTTTCCGTTTTTACGCACTTGAAATAAAAATGCCTTTTGATCGTGGGCATAATAACCGCCGTCAGTGGTGTTCCAGCTTTGTGAGGTATATCACCCATATACTGTGTCCTAGGTGTTGTAGTTAAAGGTTATAGTCGGACCTTTACAGTCATATTTGGCATGAAATGTCCAGGCGTTACATCCGTCCCTGTTGATTTTGTACAGCATGGCCAATTTAAAATTACCACCAATCCATTCCTGCAAAGCAGTCATTTCTTCTTTCTGTAGAGGAATCGCCATGCTTTTGTATGTAGGAAAACGAAACTAATTTTTTCCAGCCTTCTAAATCACGCCTACAATATCAAAATAACGGGTCGGACGATTAGGATTGTGTTCGATACTCGACAGTTTTTGTCGTAAATTTAATAAATTGAATATAAATCGTAAGCTGTCAAAGAAGATAAAACTTAAAGTCGCTTGGTCGGAGTGAGACGCGCATATTCTGCAATCGCATCATCTGGGGTCTTTTCGTCCGTGGTCCGAAAAACAACCTCGAGTGTATTAACATCACCGGATGTTAAAAATTTAAACAAGATGTTTTGTTTGTTTGTTTGTATGTTTTTTAACGTCCCTCTCGAGAATTTTTCACTCATATGGAGACGCCACCACTTGACGGTGGAGAGTTGCAAATTTTGTCCTATACTCGGCACTTACGGCCATTGAGCAGTGAGGGATACTATAACCAGGTAGATTTTGGTTATAAGTTATAAAATTAATTCCTGAACTATATCCGTTGTTTAGCGCGAACGGGGAAGAAGGAATGTTGGCGGGTAATAAAGAAGCGGCGCTGTGGGGCCGTAATACAACGTAAATGAGAAAGGTGCCGTATTCCCTATGGTCTTCCAATATAAAGTCCAAGAACTGGTAAAATCAGGTTTCCGAATTTATTATAGACGATGGTAAAAAAAACAATCAACATGAATTTCAACAATAGTTTACAGGTCTTAACCGAGTTGGATGTGGCCGGTAGAGCATCGGGCCTCCAAACTGAAGAAGGTATAATGGACATAGATTTTTGTAAGATAGAGAGTAAACAATAATTGAATTATGACACTAGCTGAGTTAATTGATAGACAGGTGTGTTTCTTTGATGGAATGGACATAAAAGACATTGCTAAATAATTATATAAACAAAGTTATTGATATTAGACTAACAGGTCCTGAGGCATTTACACCTATAACGAGTATCAATTCTTTTGACAGTCACTTAAAGTCAATTGGAATGTCTTAATCCAGTTTCAAAGAGAATGATATTCAATCAACTAAATAATAGACATACAATGATAATAGATAGAGAATTTAACAGATAAACGTCCAAATTTAGTATAATATATTGAAAAGTTATTTATTTCAAAAACGTTAATTTTGCTCGGTGATAATATCCTTCGGTCTCCGGGAAAACACGTCCTCGTGTTTTAGAAAGGAACACCCTCAATAAAATGGTGAGCACTGTTGGCACTGACAATGTCCGTGGAAGTTGTTGTACGCGGGGTAAGGGTTGGGTCCGTTTTGTCTCTCGTAATCTATAATGTCCTCTAACCTTTCGATTTCCTGATCTTGGTCGTCGATTTGATTTCGGAGGTTTTCGATTTCTTGAATTTGAGAGTCGATTGTGAAACGGAGGGAATTGATCTCTTGAACTTGAGCATCAATTTGAATGCGGAGACTGCTGATGTTGGCGTCCTGCGCGTCTGTCTGATCGCGTTGTCTTCTCATATTCTGGTCTGCTGTGTATAGCTGTGTAGACAATAGTAAGATTTCCTCGGTTTGTTTTTTATTCTGGGCAAAAAGCTCTGAATTACGTTCTGCAGCCATTTCATTGTTCTTGTTTGCATTGTTTAATTTTATCTTTAAGTCGATTATTTCCTGCTGTAATTCCGGTTTAACTTTCTGTAGGATTTGGATGTTTGTTACTAGTTGTGAGACCTTTGCATCACTTTCTTGTTGAACGGATACGAGTTGTTTCTTTGTTGATTCAAAGTTTTGCTCGGCAATCTGAAGTTTATGAAGCAATTCCTTGATCCTGTTTTCAGAGTTTTTGAGCTTTTCCTTTGTCTTTGAAATTTCACACCGAAGGGATGAAGCAATATCCACACATTTATGGAAGGCAGCATGTCTGAGGTTGTAGAAGGGTAATTCTCTTAGATATTGTTTTCTGTCCAGAAAATGTCGAACTCTGTTTGCATCACGCAATTTAGCTGCATTTGACTTTTTAGAAGGAATTTGACAGAATTTGGCGTAATGTCCATACCTTCTACAGTTAAAACATGTTGATTGAGATGGATTATATCGCAGCCGATTGGAATTTGTTGGCATATATGTTGGTTGAAAGTAAAAGTCCATTGTGAGGTTTGTTGAATTTTGGGGAAATTAAACTCATGGGTAGAACACGTCCCTGGCGTAGTGAAAGGTACAACACAAAGGGGAACGTCCCGATTCTATCACCAATTATAACCAGGTAGATTTTGGTTATAAGTTATAAAATTAATTCCTGAACTATATCCGTTGTTTAGCGCGAACGGGGAAGAAGGAATGTTGGCGGGTAATAAAGAAGCGGCGCTGTGGGGCCGTAATACAACGTAAATGAGAAAGGTGCCGTATTCCCTATGGTCTTCCAATATGAAGTCCAAGAACTGGTAAAATCAGGTTTCCGAATTTATTATAGACGATGGTAAAAAAAACAATCAACATGAATTTCAACAATAGTTTACAGGTCTTAACCGAGTTGGATGTGGCCGGTAGAGCATCGGGCCTCCAAACTGAAGAAGGTATAATGGACATAGATTTTTGTAAGATAGAGAGTAAACAATAATTGAATTATGACACTAGCTGAGTTAATTGATAGACAGGTGTGTTTCTTTGATGGAATGGACATAAAAGACATTGCTAAATAATTATATAAACAAAGTTATTGATATTAGACTAACAGGTCCTGAGGCATTTACACCTATAACGAGTATCAATTCTTTTGACAGTCACTTAAAGTCAATTGGAATGTCTTAATCCAGTTTCAAAGAGAATGATATTCAATCAACTAAATAATAGACATACAATGATAATAGATAGAGAATTTAACAGATAAACGTCCAAATTTAGTATAATATATTGAAAAGTTATTTATTTCAAAAACGTTAATTTTGCTCGGTGATAATAGATCTTTATTGTGCCAGCACCTACTGCGACACGGGACCTTGGTTTATACGGTCTTATCCGAATTACCGGTCTCCACGTCCCACAGTGGGATTCGAACCCGCGACCTAAGGATCAACTCCTTACTTCGCGACTCTAGAGCAGACGCTCTAACCACTGCGCCACGCGGGCTTAAACAAGATGGATTTGCTTCCTATTTATTATAATATTGGAATGATAGAGTCAAAAGTCACTCTATTTTAGGTAATATTTTTACATTCAATTGAGCTCCAAACTCTACAGATAAGAGGTCTCCCTACATTTATTTCAAAGTTTATGAAAAGGGGGGATGTCATTGGACGCCTACGTAACATATTCGAGGTTGTTTTTCCTCTTGTCGGAAAGGCCCGAGAAGTTTCGATTGACACGAAAGATAACTGAAGCGTATGACATGGTGTATTGACCTGATAAGCATATTGACCTGATTGACCTTATGAGATATAAAATGTTATTTACTTAATCTAAAGGACGATTTTTTTCAAAATTTTCCATATTACTATAATATACAATATCTAAGGTGTTATGTGAGATTTACATGATGTTTTACCGATTCCAAGGAGTGTAAAGACCTGATATTTAGTATAATGTCCTGATGGGACTTTTTCCCTTTAATTTACCAATGTTTTGGTATTGATGTAATAATTAATTGGTATATATTTTATTTTATAGTTTTCTTTATTCAAAAAATTAAAGTTTATAAATTGGAAAATTTTAAGAAGGTTTTTAATGAAAATTCCCTATTCCACTGTGTAATGACCTGGATTCGGTTGCACGAACGTTAGTTAAATTAAGCTGTTAATTGGTTGTTAAAAATTTAACTATCAGTTACGTAACAAGCCGTTAAATATGGGTTGCACGAAACGTAATTAAACCTTCATTAGTTAACTGTGATTTAACTCATCGATGTTAGTTAACAAGCAATTAAATACGTCTGCACGTGCTTTTTCCTTACAAAAGAATGCAGAAAATGGCTACCAAAAGAGAGAGGTGTGCGAACTGGAGCCTCACGGAAATATCTGTTTTGACGGATTTTGTGGAAAAAAATGAGGAAACGCTAAAAGCTAAACAATGTAACCAGATTACCAACTCGAAAAAAAATGCTATGTGGGCGGAGGTAACCGCAATGATTAATGCCATCGGTGTGCAAAAACGCACCGTGGAGCAGGTAAAATTCAAGTGGGGCAACTTACAACAAGGAGCCAAAAAAAGTTTCAGTGAGGCCAGGAAACAAAGCAAATTGACCGGAGGAGGCCCTCCACCAAAGCCGCTTACTGCCGCTGAAGAGAAAATCATCGAGATGATGAAAGATCGGCCTAACTTCAGTGGCATAGTAGGTGGCTTCGAGTCATCTGTGCCGGCATTTGCAGGTATTTTGCCATATTATGCATCAAAGAAAAACGAAAAATGAAATTAAAATTATATTTGAATCAAATTATCGTTTAATCAAATGAAACCAGCCAGAGACGTATTTTAGAAGTACCGTTTGTTTACATTGTCGTCTGACAACATTGCTCAAGTTGATGACGTCACCAACCATTCACATAACACGTGTAATATTATTGTCATAATAACATAATTCTGCTGTTTTGAATATGTCTTAATTTTTTCCTTAAAATGTAAGACTCACTTGAAAAATCCATTTAAATAGTCCAGCCTGTGATGCAACTAGGCCTCAATGTAATAATGAAGGCTACTTCAGTACATGTCTCGATCCTCTAGTCTATAAAAACTCTATGATCTTCCAAACAGAAAGAATAAAATCGCCTTTTTCACTTAAATATAGCTAACATCCCCTTTATAACTAAGGCTTGTTAAAATCCACATTATCACACGAAATGTTAAATTTAGTCCGATGTAAGCTCACTTTACTCAAAAGTCACAGCCCAACGCATTCTCATACAAAGTGACGTCATTAGTGGGGCACAATATGGGTTGTGATTGCTTTATTTCAGGTAAGAAGCAAGAAACCCATTTCATTATTTTAACAAATATGTAGCAAAAAGAAAAAGAAAACATTTAAGGAGTATCATCGAAATTCTGTTTGAATTTAAGACTCATTCTGAGGCTGACAAGGTCAAGCCCCTTCACATAATCTTGTCAAAATTTGGGCAAGAAACAAAAGGCCCCATCCCGGCCCCCTCCGCACGATTTTGGAGTTTTGTGAGACTGCTTTTTCCTGATATTTCAGGTATTATTTTCAAAAGGTTTCATGATGTTTTTTTTTTATTTGATCTTTATTACCTGACCCATTTTCCATGCATCTTGAAAAAAAAAACCACGATGCCACGCTCAGCTCTCCGTGCCTAAATTTATAACACACCGGCTTTCAATTGATCCTTTTCAAAGATCCCTTGATCCACTTATAACTGCAACTATATTTTAAAAAATGCAGGTATTTTATAGTGTGAGGAATCCTTTTTTCTGATCATAGTTTAAAAAATAATTTAGATGATAAATTGCACGATGCATATGGTGCTAGCAAACGTTCCTAGAAAGCTAATGAGTGGACCTGTATGATTTTTTTTTAAATTTCACCATTATAAAATCAAAGAGCATTTAGCTAATGGAACGCTTGGTCACCCCCCTTCTGCACTTTACCCCACCCTTTTTTTTTTCCCCCGTTTTGAAATGGTTTGTTACAGGCCTCAAGTTATACTTAGTAGTAGTACAGATAGAAGTAACACTTGTTACTAATACAGGTATTTATCTCAAATATTTCGTTTTCCTTTAAAGTGGTGTCAAAAGAAACTGAGTCAGAGGCAGCCTCTACTTCGACCCATGGTACCAATGAAGAAAGAACGGAAGCAGATATCGATGTAAACGAAGTCCAAAGTTCTGAGTGTACTTATCCTGAAAGGTTGGTTTAATGATCTTAAAAAAAATGAAAGCATGGTGAATGCTTAATTCTTTTTAAGTTTGGGAAGAAAAAGTTTTAACATTTCAGTTACGTATACTAGCTGACGAGATTTCTTTTATGTTAATACTGTAAACACACTTTTTTACGGGGTCAATCACCTATTTGGTTTTATCCACGGGTAAAAAGTTGTGCGAATTGTTTGTATGTCAAGGAAGTTAATATTTCTTCTTACTAATTACTGCATTTCCTTTAAAATTTTATTATCGCACTGGTTATGTACTGACTAGTTGCCAGTCCGAAATCAAAGAGGAATAAAATTAAAAAGATATATAAGATTTAAAATTTATGATATCGCATGCATGATATTTTAATTGACGTGTATATGCAATTTTTACTTTTCAAAAAGTTATTGGGTCAATTAAATATCCGCTTGAGAAAAGGTGTCCTCTGTCACATGTCGAGATCTCAAAAGAAAAAAAAAACAATTAAAAAGAATATTAATAATTGTCGGTATTCTGCTTTTTTATCATAATTTTATTCCCCACCTTTCTTGTATTAAGTAAATCCAGTAAAACTTTTTACTAACTAGAACGAATGCGGAAAAGGAATCAGAGTTTGAATGTTGCAGTGAACGTGACCAGTCACCATCGGTAACCAAACCCAAGAAAAGGAAAAGGATTACATTAGATGTTTTGCAGACAATGCAGTATGAGGTAGCAAATGTTTATTACAGTCTAGTTATTACTAATAACTGGTACAACTGAGTATATATTGAGAAAGGTTCCTTCCTACTTAATTCAATACTAGTCTTAGTTAATAAAACATATTTTGCTTTAATTGTTTAAAGAACATAAAAAGAAATTCATAACCTAATTTATTATGATCTAAGAAACAAATGGAGATGTTTCTGTTTAATTTATGAGAAGATATAAAATCTAATACCCCCCCCCTCCCCCAACTCCCATAACTTTTTAAAATCTAATTGAAATATGGAATCATTACTTTATTCAAAAGTCAGTGGAGTTGAATTTCGTCGTCTTAAGCCACGGTCTGGTGTCCTCTCATAGTTCTTCTGCCCGTGGCTACTTGAACAAATTAAGAATAATCACGCCTAATGTGTGGCGTCGTTATAAATCAATGAAAAAAAGCTTATATCACCAATTAAAAACAAAGGTTGCGTAAATTGCGATTGGATAATGAAAGATCGCATTAATTTCCGACTATGCTTTACTCGCATTGGTCAATATTTTAATGAGCTAGGAAATATTCTCGTCTCATTCAACCACGGCCAGAATAAGAGGATTATACATTTGGAGGAATATCCGAATTGCCAACTATTATATGCCTTGTCTTTAAAACTTTTCTTTATTATTGACTCTTTATGCAAATTTTATGATGCCAGAAAGAACACACTGGGCTGGAGAACACTAAAATACGGATAAGTGGTTTAATTTGCCTCCTCCCTTTACGTGCTTTTTTTTTTAATTCACTTCATATACAGCTTTATGGGGACTGTTATGCTATGCAAAGTGCAGTTCTTCCACAATATATTTTGAGGTAAAATCTTTTGATTGCAGGTGTTACGCACTCAGAGAAGACAACTGGAATTGAAGAGTATGAAGCTGGAGAGAGACATAGAACGGGCGGATTTAGAGAAAGAAAACATGAAATTGCAAAATGAAAAATTGTTATTAGAAATTGAAATCATGAAACAGAGTGTATCTCAAAATGAAAATGCTCTTCTTGCATTGCAGGTCATCTCTGATGAATAGTTGTAATTCCTATAGAGAGTATGAAATAATATATATTTAAATTAAAAATATCTTTTAAATGAAATTCACAGTTTTATTTTTCACTACCCATGTCAATACTTATGAGGTACAGTTAATGTACAAGTGTAATTCCATAATCAATATTATGTTACTCTTCATCTTGTCTAAAAATAATTTGTCGTGATGAAGTTCCTGATGGCTCGTCCGTCCTCTGGGCCTTGATAGTTCAATTGACCAACGTCATTGTCATCATGTTCATCATCATCTTCCATTTCCTCCTTAAGAATCAACGCGATGTTATGAAGAATTGCACAGGCTCCAACGACACTGCATACTTTAGCTGGTTTCATACGGATTTCTCCATGCAGAACATGAAATCTACGTTTCCACCATCCAAACGCTCGTTCTATAGTGGTTCGTGTCTGACAGTGGGCCGAGTTGTAAGCCTCTTGTGCAGGCGTTGATGGGTGCAGGTAAGGTGTAAGCAGGAACTTTGAACAGGCGTAGCCGCTGTCACCGAGAAGAAATCCATCTTCAATTCCACGGTGGGTATTTTCTAAAAATGCGCATACCTCTGATGCCCGGAAGATGTGGCTGTCGTGGCTGCTTCCCGGCCACTGAGCATCAATATTGATGAACTTTCCTGTAAAAAAAATTTTTTTTAAAGGTTTTATCCAAAGCTGGCACAAAAAATATAAGATAAAAATTACTGCTTTGAGTGAACATACCCTCATGGTCGCAGATGGCTTGCACATTAATGGAGTGCCACCCCTTTCTGTTCACATATGTTGGTTCATCATCTGAGGGAGCCTGTATCCTGATATGGGTGCCATCAATACAACCAATTACCCCTGGGAACCCACCACGCGTGAAAAAAATTCTCTTTGCCTTTGACATATCTTCCTGGTTAGGCCACTTCAGGAACTGGTCCTTCTTTGCGATGAGTGCATTTGTCACATCGTTGACGGCTCTACTGACTGTCCCCTTATCTACACCCATGGTGTCCCCGATGACTTCCAAAAAACTCCCGGAGGCGTAAAACCGCAGGGCAAGCATGACCTATATTAAAATTTCTGACCTATTTAATTTTCACAAATTAGAACTATAGATATTGAGTATGTTTCAAGCATTATTCCTCAATACACAGACATGCAATCGATATATTTTTATTCCCCGATCGATGGCAATATCCTGACTAGCGTTTTTACAAAAATCATCCATATATTAAACTGTTATCTTTAAAATGCATTTTTTTTGCGAATTTTCTCCCAATATTTGTGCTACATATGTATGTACCTCATTTTGTTCATATCACATTCTGCTTAAAGGGACGATCATTTGATTCTGGGAGGGGGGGGGTAGTAAAATTTTTCGAGTCAGATTATTCATTTCATGTCAGTCAAGGACAGATTATTTATTTTCAAGATGATCAAGACAAATTATTTTCTTTTTCTCTGAAAAAAAAATTGACAAGCACAAAAAAACAAAAAAAACGAGGACAGATTATTTTTTTCAATATTGTTTATTTCCGAAATCTGCCAGACCCCCCCCCCCCCCCCCCCGAAATCAAATGGTTGTCCCTTATGCACATTAGTGCAAAAGTCAATAGCTATAAGCGAAGAATTTCTTGTTCATTTATAAATATTTCAAATATCAATAGCGTTTATCTATTTTTGTAAATAAACAAAAGAAACATATTTTTTTTAAAATCATCGTAAAGTCTTTTTGGGATGAACGTCGGAAAATAAAAAAAAAACCCACTAAAATGGAATCTTGATTTAAAAAATAATATCGGGACATTTATATTTCTATCTCGCCTGTAAGAATGCATTGATTCACATCATTTTATTATTAATAAAATAATTAATATCACTGTTTATAACACATATTCACAACCTTATCATCGAGGTTTTACTATGAGTTAAATTGACGTCATATTCATAGTTGTGACGTAACTCATATAGGCCTACATATGATTTTAGATTTGAGAGAGAGAGAGAGAAAGAGAGAGAGAGAGAGACAGAAATAGAAAATTTTGTCACCTGCATTTCAACTGAAATGGACTGACTACGTCGAGTGGTTCTCTCCAAATCATCTCTCAGTAAATCAACAATAAAATGGAGTGATTCGCGCTTAAAACGGAACCTGGACCGAATTTGTTTATCGGAGAGATCGGCCATGTCTACTCTTTTGCGGTAATTGCGATTTTTCTGCTCCTCAAACAAATTTCCAAACAAAAGTAAATTCGCCATCTTTGTTTTAATGATTAGTTAAATATTTAATGTACCTTGTATACCTCAATTAAATCTGTCAGTTAAAAGAGAAGTTTAACTAATGTTTAACTAACAGTTTGTTTTCGTGCAACCCGTTTAACTCACCGTTAAATTTAATGTCGCGTTAACGTAAAGTTAACGGCCAGTTAAATTTAACTAACGTTCGTGCAACCGAATCCTGATTCAGATTGACCTGATGGATTTGTCATGAGTAATTTATCTTGCATGTATTTGTTTGTTTATTTTATTTTGTTTACTTTCATTTCTGTGTGGTTTTTTTTTTTTTTTTTTTTGTTTGCACACAGTTGTTTTTCTGTGTTTGATTTTTTTTTAATTATTGTATTTTTTGAATTTTTATGTTTGTTGGTCGCTGACAAATAGGTCAGACCATAACAAAGTTGGACTATGTAAGTCTATAACAAAGTCGGACTACCTGGTTTTTAAAAAAACCCTGATATGTTCTTATACATGTAACGTAGGTTTAGAGAACTATATCATATTTCAATATTTCTGAGACAAATATTTGTAGCAATTTATGAAAAAAATGACTTTGACATGACCTGATAATTCAAATTCCATTGACCTGATATTTCTTCTGAAAAACATATTTTTTAGTGAATTGATAGATTAAGTTATAATCATTACTGCCTAACACCAAAACTCTAATAAGTTATACATTCAACATGTAATAAACGTATGTATAAAAAAAACTGTTTGTGCCAATTTTTTCTATAGACATCAATATTATTTTGTACAACCATTTAAGTACATGAGAACCTCGTAAGTTGTTAGAACTTGTGTTAGAACCTTTTGTATGACATTCATACAATAAAATACATGTATTAAAAAAAATAAAATCCATAAAATAATCCAAAAATAAAATCATCAGTCTCGTTTAAAGTCATCATTTCGAAAATTCTATGGTCGATACAATGACCTTGTCAGCAAATACAATCTATCATTATGTCAAATGCTGACTGACTTTTTTCATACTAATTGTTAGGCCATTATTTACATACTGAATTGTCGACGGCTTTTTTTCGTTATTTCCCGATCATGACAGGGAGCACACAACGGGTGTGACCGGTCGACAGGGGATGCTCACTCCTCCATGGCACCTGATCCCACCTCTGATGTCTTAGAGGTCCGTGTTTGCTCCTATTCTGTAATGTTTAATGGACTTTTGAGCTCAAATACTGTTCGTTATCTTCACATATTTCATTTTAACTACCGAATATGTATCTCTCCTGGTGGACAGTCTGTCCCCGAGGATACTTATCGTTCGGTACCTGTTCATTCATGAGTACACTTAATAACGATATGATACTGGCAGACGCGTCGCCCAGTATAAAAATGCGTCACTCTTTTGAGTCTATATGGGACACAGAATCGAAGAATTCATTCGGTGCCCCTCGGATAATCCTCAGGCATATTAAACATATGTCATATGTGCAGTCTTTAGATTTCCAGTTTTGGTATAAAACCGATAGTTCATGCAAACATTTGAAAGAATGTAAAGTTTCTATGAGAGACATATTTGAAGATTCTTTTTCCCATCCCATGTCTTCTATTTCAAAATGTTCTGCCAAAAACTGTAAAACCTGTGACATTTTCGTAACTAACACTTCTTTCACAAGTAGTCTTACTGGAAAATATATTGTCTCTGAATATTAACGTCTTTCTAACAGTGTTAATCATGCAAACGAACGAATGATTAAGGCTTCTTTTTTTTCAAAAAGTTTGTCTAAGGCATATTTAGTTGTTGCTTACTGTAAAATAAAAAAAAATATTTTATTATATGATGATGCAAATTTGCCTTTACAGAAAAAAAATTCAGTATCTTTGCTGCTGTTCATAAATTTATTGAGGAAATATGTAGATTCTCTTGTTGATATGTTTTAATCACTTTTCACTTGTAACAATACTATAATTGTTTTTCTCCAATTTGCATGATATATTGTAAGATTTAAAGAGAGGAACGATTAAGTTATAGAAAATATAGTTGCAATAAAAGGTTGTTTAAAATTAAATGTATGGAGATAACGAACAGTATTCAAGTTCAGAAGTCCATTAAACAATACAAATTTTGGAGCAGAGCAAACACGTACCTCTAAAACATCAGAGGTGGGATCAGGTGCTATGGAGGAGTGAACATCCCATGCCGACCGGTCACACCCGTCGTGTGCTCCTTGTCATGATGGGAAATAACGAAAAAAACGTCGACAATTCAGTGTGTAAATAATGGCCTAACAATTAGTATGAAAAAAGTCAGTCAGCATTTGACTTAATGATAAATTGTATTTGCTGACAAGGTCATTGTATCGACCATAGAACTTACGAAATGATGACTTTAAACGAGACTGCTGATATTCTTGTTTCATCAACTTGTTTGTCATTTAAAAAAACTAACTCCATGAACTTGGAACGAATACATGCATTATATGGGTGTGTCTCTATAAATTCAAATAATGTATTCGAATATATATACTACTACTCTGACATAGGTAAAATCCGACAAATATGTTTTGATTAGGATAATCAATATGATAATCTCGAATGTAACATTGACCGAACAGTTTTTAAAATGTTAGAGCATATCGATAATTTTTATTCTCATAAGGGTAACATTTTGTATCAAACTTTACTAAAAATGGAACAGTTTTGTAATAGCATCCTGGTTGAAATACTTCCTCCTAGTCTGAACAAATGAGGATTGCTACAACAAAACTCTTAACAAGTAGGTTGTAAAGGTCAATTGTCTTTTTAAAGCACTTTCGTGAACAATTTTTGTTCTAGAACTAAGTGGAAAATAAAGA